TGTGTGTAGCTTAATCATGAATGTACTTACCACTTATTTTGTCCTTAAGCACGGGGAGAAATATAGTACTTCACAGTGTCCCAATGTCATGAGCACACCTGTTGCTCCATTTGAACTCTACTCCTTAGCTCAGTTAACAAAGCTAATTTCCACTCTAGAAAGTGCTTGGGCTACTCCATTTGCCTCAGTATCCACACCATCCATGTCACAAAGTTGTTTCAGCTTTTGGTAAACATACCTTGAACCTGTTCATTGTTTTTATCTACAGTGTATCCAAGGTACATAATTCGGGGTGTCAGAAGGATTTTTTTTTTCAAAAGCATGTCCTGTTGCACTCCCCAGGGATTTGACTGTAGTATAAATAAATGGCCATTCCCTTACTTCCAGGCAATTTAGGATGAATTTTCCTCCGTATGGAATTTGGCCCTTTCAAAATCCTATATCTTGAACAAAAGGAATATTATCATTATATCAACTTTATTCTAATGGTTCAAGGAGACCCCACCTCTGGCTCAGTAAACTGTATGGATTCAGAAACATCCAATTTTTTGTTATAATTATTCCACAAGTAGCTTGATCTAGATTTAATATTTAAACCTGTATTTAAAAATGGAAATCAAAAGCTGAAGTGCTGCCCAGCTTAGAAATATTTTCCAGTTGTAATTCTTACTAACCATGCCATCTTGGGCAAATTGCTTAATTATATGTACCAGCTTTATCCTCTGTAAAACCAGGATCATTTTAAGACTGCTCTCATGACGATACAAGCATGAAATTATTGCAAACAGCATGCAGCACCTAGCACGTAGTAAGTGACCAAAAAATGACCCTTGGAATGTTTCCGTGATCATTATCACAACTGCTGTGGCAACTTATAGGCTCAGACTCCAGTAAAACTAGCTGGTTATTTTGCGGGGATCGATTTTAGATTTTCTGCAGAACTCCAAGTCCACATTCAAAATGTCCAAATCCTTTTATCCACTGATCAGTCCTTGTATGGGCACAATTGATTCTACAGTTGATGGCAAACAAGATTAGATATCTGACATCAACTGTTAGCTATGCCCCAGGCAGGAAGGCACCTTTTCGCCATAGCAAAATCAACTAGCATCATAGTTCCACAGAGGAAGGGGAAAGGAGTGATGATTTCACGTATATTTTTTCCCAAATCAAGGCACCTATTGGAAAATGACATCGTTGTTTCTTATCTGATGCTGAAATGTTTTCTCACTAGTCCTTTGGATTCAACATTAGGTTCAATTCTTTGCTTATTAGATCCATGTTAAAATCTAGAATGTGTCCAAGTACCAGTTCAGATTCAACGTAGCTGCATGTATCTGGGATTGAACTAAAGAGCTTACATAGAAAGAGGTTCACTTTCTTAAGAAAGGCTCTGGGCTTGGCAGGCTAGGGCTGGAGCGCCAGTTCTGCGGAAGCATCCTTTTCCAAGTCCTGTTATCTTTCCGCTCCACCTCACTCAGAAACAGGCTTTCATCCTATGGTTGCCAGGGCAGCTGCACTTCCATACGGCATTTTCATTATAGGCAGCAAGAAAGGAAAATGGCAATGGGTGAAATATGTGTGCCAGCAATGTCTTTTTGTCAGGAAACCTATATCTTTCCTGGAAGCTCCTCTCCATTGTCACATGGCCACTCCTAGATGGAAGCGAGTGAGGGGAGGTACTATTTAACTCTGCTTAGGGTCAGGCTGAACAAAACTGACTTTTCTTAGTAACACAGAATGGGAGACGATATTAGTTGGATAACTTGCAGTGTCTACCTAAAGGGAAGAGGCACAATCCTAGTATGTGTAACACATACTATATTTTGTGTATATGTGTATATTCAGCAGGTTTGGCAGGACACTAACTGGCCTAGGTCAGCAGATGCTGTGAATATCAGGACCATAATGCTCTCCTCTCTTTAGCGCCCGCGCCTCTGGTCTCAGCCCCTGAAATCCCTTACAATGGAGGTTGGCAGACTTTTCTGTAAAAGGCAACAACGGGGAATACTTTACGCTTTGTGAGTCAGCCTTCACTGTAACTACTCAACTCGGCCACCGCAGTGCCCAAACTACCACAGGCCGTATTTCCAAGAATGAGGGCGACTCTGTTCCAGTAAAACATTATTGATAAAAACAAAGAGAAAGCTGAATTTGTTTCCCCTGCCATGGGGTACGGCTTCCTGCTCTACAACAGCACTAGCTTTTTATTTCTAAAATCAGAGTCAATGTAAATATCACCTCTTCTTAAGCACCAGTGTAAAGTGAGCTTCTCTCTCCACTAACTTTCATACTATCCCCTCCGATGAGTATAACTGTTCTTGTTCCAATGTGCGTAGAATGCTAATATGATGATTTTTACGTATTTTTTTCCACCATAATGAGTTCACACACACACACAAACACACACAAACACTCACACATGTATTTCAGAGTACATTGCTTGTATTTTTTTCCTCCCCTTATCATTTACCATGATTTGTATTCTCTCTTCTTTTTTGATTCATTTCTACTATTTCCAATTTTAACTATTTTCTCAAATATTTTTATGGATTTGGAAAGAGAATGATATACTTTCTGGATCTTTCTTCAAAGATTTCTGTCACCCTCACAGATGAATCATTTTTTTGACATAGGCTGTAAATAGAATAATATTCAATTGCTGACCACAGAGTCCAGTATTTCAAGTGATAAATATGATGATGCCAATATATATTGTTACTTAGTAGGAAATTTTTAGAAATCTAAAAGTTTGTAAAATTTCTTTTACTTAAGTTTTAGGAACTTTGCCAGGATTTACATAGATTTGATTCTTATTCTATTAACCCTTCCTGGAACTCATAAAAATCTATTAATCTTGTAAATTTTGTTTATTCTTTACCTCAAGGAAATAATATTATGGTTCTTCTCCTTTATCTGCTCTATTTGCTCTCTGGGAATATATGTTAATCACACAGGAAGTCTAATGACTGTATCCTCCAGGAGTCATCTTTTCCCCACAACTACCATATTTTTGTACATTTGCTCTCTGATTTTTAGCTACTTCTTCCCATATCAAGTCCCAGAATAATAATTTTGGCCTTGGTAGTGAACACCCATGCCTCCATCCATATATTAAAATTTTTGCTGTTTGCTTATTTATAGAAAACATGGCTTTGTGTTAGGGAAATCCCTTTCCGTGTCCTTAGAACACTAGTGCTCTTATGATCTACTCTTGAATACACTGTCTTTCTTGATAATCACTGCTCTGCCTCGTTTTCTCCCTCTAGCACTTTGTCCCCTAGGGTTCTGGCTGTTTTCTTGTGTTCCTCGGGGGGATCTTAAGTAGCCCCTGGAAGTACCTAACAGCCACAGTCTTACAAGTGATAGAGTCACAGGGTCCTTTCCTTTTGTCAGACAGGAGGTGGGCGGAAGGGCTGTTAGTCCCTTGACAAACGCGCTAGGAGGACATCTGTTTAGAGTTCCCATGGAAGCTCGTAGCTGCCAAAGTTAACAGTGTTGAGACTTTCAGTTTCCCCTCAGTTTTCCTTAGAGACCAATGAGCCTGCGTGACTTCTGGGCCACCCTCAGGCTCTCTGAGGCTGGCCCCTGTGTTCTACTTGGGTGCAGAGGGAGCCAGTTTGGCAACTGCTTTCTCCCAAGACTCTGGTCAAGAAAGAGAGCTTAGCCACTCCTCCCAACCCGCTTCCCGAGAGCTTCAGGAGCCATCTGCCTGGCTCAAGAGACCTAAGGTGGGCTGCAGTTGGGAAGAGATGAAACTAGACTTCCATTAAAAAACCCTATATATATATATATATATATATATATATATATATATATATATATATATATATATGAGAAGGGGGTTGTTCATTAAATTTTTAGTGGTAATCATTTCACAATATATGCTAAGTCATTACACCTTAAACTTATACAGTGCTATACATCAATTATATCTTAATAAAACTGTAATTTTTTTCCAAATTAAAAAATATATATACAACAGTGATTTAATTAATTATATATAATGGCCTTAATTCAAAGTAATAGTCACATGTATGCAGTAAACTTAAATATTAAAATCTCTACTCAAAAAATGAGTTCTACATCTCAGTTGAAAGATTCACAAAATAGTAAAAAATTATAATAGCTGAACTTTACTATAATTACATTTAGGAAATCCATCATATGAGATAGAAACAAAATAAAATAGCCAGACCACAGATATCGGTGAGTGGTGGGAAAACCCGGGCTCATCAGAGTGACTGGAGACCTAGATTACAGTTTATTAACTATAGTGTGAGCTTTACATTCAGAGAATGACTCCAGCTTAAAATAACCTGGAGTCAATTTGTTCTTGGCCATTTTCTACATATTCATATGTGAATTTGGGAAAGTTACATAAGTACTGTATGCCAGTAAGTAAATCTTTAAAGTGGTATTTATTCAAAATTCTTCACAGGGTTGTTGTATATTTAACAGTAAGTAACATATGAAAGTACTTAGGATTATGTGAAAAGTTTAATTGATCAATGTAGCTATTACTCATATTATTAATATTATAATTTGGTCATAAACTGCAAGCTTAAAAGATGCAGCAAAAGATTTCCAACATTATATTGTCTTTCATTATCTATGCAAATTGTCATTTTGAATGTGTTTTGGTATGGTCTTAACAATATCTATGAAATGTTTATGTGGTTAAAAAATGTTAACCAAACAAGAATTTTAGGTCTTTTCTGATTTATGATAGTCTTTCCTTGAGATCAAACCATTACTTACACTTATATGTTCAGAAATTAATTTGAATAAATATTATATATGTATAACCAATATACTTTAACAGTTTAGGCCATAGGAATTATTAAAATATTTGAGAATGTCTTTAAATTCCGCCATACACACACACATACACACACACACACACACACACACACACAAAATTAAAAATGGGTCTTCAAAGGATGATTTCTGGATCCTCAAAATATACTAAGTCAAAGTATAAAAATGACTTTTCTTACCCATATCTGACATTTCAGGCACAGTAACGATATAGGGTCCATCTGTGAACTTCGGAGCATTGTCATTGATGTCTTGCACTTTGATGATGAACTCGGACTCAGGTTCAAGAGGCTTGTTTGTCCGTCTGTCAATGGCCTGGGCATGAAGCACATAGTGGGTCTTCTGTTCTCTGTCTAGGCTTTTTGTTGAGTGGATGTCACCCGTGGTGTCATCAATGATAAATATTGTCCCGGCACCTTCTCCAGTAAGGATGTACTTGACAGACCCATCACCTTTGTCAGAATTGGAGTGCAGCTACAAAATACAAATGGAATAATTTCACATGTTTATATTCCAACCTTACATGGTATTCTCTGAAAACTGCCTATCTGTAATTTAATACTTAGTTTGATTATGACTTTTCTGTACGCAGTGTCCCGTGTTACCGCAATCATTTATTTTTCTGAAGTGTTCTCCCACTTGCTGTTAATATTGATATTTTATTATGATCTGTAAGAGCAATTCAATAGCTTTATGAGAAGTTAATAAGTAATGCTTATTAAAAGAAAAACAATCCCTTGCTGTCATTCTACTAAATGAACATTTTACTAACTAAAAGGAATAGAACTGGGAAAATAAATAGCCAGTAAATCATTGATAGGAATGCTGTTTCCATACTTAAATTTTGCTTTTTAATTTGTTTGGCATTCTATTTTAACCGTAAAATTAGAAAAAGGAATATGGTAGGACAAATTGATACAAATTAATACTTAAAATTTCCACTAAAGAGGCACTTGGCATAGAGGCATTAATTTTATAACTTGAAATTTTTCTAGATCGAGTGTTCAGATTTAGAATTAAAAAAATCAACTCAGAGTCAACTATTTCCTTTCTTTAAAGATTATGAAAAATTTTAAACTCAAAATGTAAATAGTAGTGAAGGCTAAATAGGCAAACCCTGGTTTTTAATTAATTGAGATACACTAGTAAATTCTCACTTATTAAAATTAAAATGATTGAATATTCTTTGAACAGACATAGAAAGTAATATTTCAGTAGAGGTCTTCAATAAGAATGACAAATGACATTTGGAAATTTTAAACTACTTTTTTTGTCATTTACACATCATTAAATGCTTTTAAACAGTGTAGAGTTCATACTTAATATTCTACTATAACTTATAAGATCAAAATTCCATTAAGTATTTCCATGAGTGTCACTGCTATATTTCTAGCTAGGACAATTATAGTATTTTCTCAAACCACAACCATATATTTGAAAAAAAAAATTTATCCCAAGAGATCTGAACAGTTATCCTTCATATGAAACTTTTTTAGTCACTACTCACCTTTTGTTCATTTCTGACATTCGGAAACACTGGAAAAATATAACCTGTTCATATAGCATTTGGTTTCTTGCCATAGTAAAGTGAAATTCTTCCAGGTTTATTTTAAAGTCTCTGAATTCTTAGGGGACATTTTGTTAAAAGATAAAATATAGAAAAAGACACTACAATATGAAGAAAGGACTATTTTTACAAGAAAATGAAGATGACTTGAACATAAGTCATAGAATATCATAAATAATTTTACTTCTTTTTTAAAAACACGTAAGGCAAAAACAGGGACACAATTTTGATGAGAATCACTCAGCAAGATTTAACAAGTCACTTCAAAACTGCTTTGGGGGAGATTTTATATAAAAGAAGTAAAAATACAATACATTAGCAGAATGTGAAACATAGCTTTCGAAGATACAACTTCATTAGTAAATTAACTACTAAGGAAGAATGTACAACGAGTTGCATGGAGACAGTTGTATGCATGTATGAAAATGTGTTAGTTTCTTTATGTCTCTTGACATATCATGTTAGCATCTAGAAGAAAATATTTATCATTTATGAAGAAGACACCTATAAAATATCTATAGTCAGCCTGTTTCATATTCTCCAAATTTGCATCAATCCATTACCCAAACACAGCAAAGTAAAGCAACAAATCGGACAAATGTTTTTAGAACCTTTCCTGAAACACTGTTGATATTTATTAAGTTAACAAGAGCTGCGATGGTTTTAATAGCTATTGTATTGTATATAATATATGTCAATTATAAATCTATATAATGCAAATATAAAAAATTAAAAACACTTTTGGAGAAAAGTATGGCTTCTAAAACTAAAATCAGAAAGACATAAGAATGGTTATAACTGACTCTCATCTTCAGGGTATATTCACATAGTCTTCTACATTTTTAGTGAGGTTAACCTGATATTATTCAGTTTTGGATTAAAAGCTCATAATACAAAGAGTTATTTATATTTAAAGAAGAAAGGGCTTTTCTATTAGACCAGCAACAGAAGTAAAATAAATAGTAAAGTTGTCAATCTAAAGCATCTATTAAAATATTATATACTTTATTCTTTGTATACATTTTGGCAAAAAAATTTAAGTAAGAGAAAATTTCCAGTAATTTTTTTTTATTTTGCTGTTAACACTTGGATCTAATTGCATATTCATAAAATTTTTAGAATTAATAAATCACTTAGTCTAAATGTTTCAAAAGTTATGTGTGATTTGGGCTGGCCGAGTGGCGTGATGGTTAAGAACTGGTTTGGGACACCAGAGGGCCCCGGTTCGGATCCTACCTATGAGGGCCAGTGACACTGCCCTCCACAGCTAAGATGCTGAACAACAGCTCAGCCTGGAGCTGGGCTGCCATGAGTCGCCGGTGACGGCGTAGGCTGCAGCCCCTGTGGCAGTGGGTTGCCATGGGCTACTGTGTGAAGCCAGCAGCCAGCGTGAGCGGCCAGCAGCCGCAGTGAGCGGCCGTCCAGAAGCCGGCGACTGATCTGCCTCGCCCGGGAAGAGCGCAATGATGGTGCCAACTTGGGCCAGTGAAGCAACGTCCTCCAACTAGATTGAAGAACAAAAAACGACAGCAACTTGTCTGTTCCCCTTCCTCCAATTCCCCAGCACTGTTCCCATCCCCCCAATTCCCCAATAAAAATCATTAAAAAAAAAAAAAGTTATGTGTGATTTGAAAATAGATGTGCAATACGATCAATGAACTTAACTTAGAAGTATTTATATTGTTGGATAAAAATAAAAGTTATATCAAAATATTATAAAATATATCTGGATTATATTAGCTATTGATAATACTCAGTTTGAGTTTTAAATAATGTAGATCATTTTTTTATTAATGGATTATTTAATCTCTCAGCTGGCCTGGTTGAAACTTGAAATGATTAGTTCCATGTAATACTAATAGGAAATCACCACAGTAGCATTTAGTCAATTCATTTATAGTTTATAGGATTATAATGATAACCATTTGTGAAACAAAAAAGTGATGCACTCTCAGGATTATATCTTCTCTACCATAACTGTTTTCAAATATTCAGTTCTCTTTTCAAAATCCAATCTGTAACAGAGGTTGAGCCTGACAGAAACACTGGTTGTATGGTCTTGTTTTGCTTAATAAGTGTGTTATAAGATCCTGGAAGATCACATGTTTTGTATTAGGTTTTGAAGGGAAGAAATAATGATTGAGTGAGTGAATGAATGAATAAATGAATGAATGAATGAATGAATGAATGAAACGGGTAAGGAGTAATGGCTGTATTTGCAATAGAACCCTTAAAACAGAGACAAAGCCTTTGGATACAGATAATCACAATAGAAACATTGTATCTTTGATTGGTGGCAGCAATGAGACAGCAAATGGAAGGGATTGAGAGTAGAGCACATAAAATAGAAATTCTCTGGATATGCACATGGTGCTGATTTAGTAATCAGTAAAATATTGCATTGTAAGTTATTTAAGAGAGCTTTTTATCATTTTTATATTGAAATACGTAAAACTCTTAGGAAGATGAAGTTGATTTTAGTTATATATAGTGAACTCTTCTTAGCAGATTAGAAATACTACCAGGAGAGCAATAGCAGGGTCTTATTGTAACACACATTGGTGGGAATATACTTTTAGCACCATTAGATTTTACAAAATGAGTGATATTTCAAAGCCGAAGGACAGATGTTATACTGCTCTAAAGGAAAAAGAGGTAATCCTTGTGTATCTGAGCACACAGTAGGATTAATTAACTGTTCTTTAGAGAACAGAAAACACGAGGTGAATGAAGAGAGAGAAAGAAAAGAAAATTTAGTTACCCAAGTAAAGCAAAATGAGTATTTCTCTGACATCAATTTAATAAATGTACTCTGGTATTAAGTAGTAACCTATGGCACTTAAAAAGCTAATGTGACACATATGCATTTTCCCTAGAAAAATGCTTATTCACCCTGGACCACATTAGGATCAGGACCTAAAAATTTATAACTTTCACTCTATTACAGAATTCCTCACAAAGATAACATGCTACCCCTTGGGGAAGAATAACTTTAAAAGTTAAGAGGTTAAGAAGATGGTCACAGAGCAATTAATTTCAAAAGTTGCTTTTAGTTATGACTTCAACCTATGCTAAAAAGATAGGTCACCGACTTAAAATTGTATTTTGGGCTACATAATTTATGTACATTTTTATGAGTAGGAAACTTATGTTTACCGTATTTCAGCAAAATCCAGGAATAAAGTTAGAAATGTTATATAGTAACCTCACTGTTATCACTTTCTCCAACAGACAAAATACAATCGATGTAATGTGAGAGAAATGTGAGGAACATAGGAAAGAAATGTCATTGAAACTTATTGTGTATTCTTCATTGCAGAATGTGTTATACTTCATTTAAACTATAAATACAAGGTGTGATCAGAACACATGGAGAAGGCTGTTGTCGAGTGCCATCCAATGGAAAGGCAGGGATCTTCAATATGGGGAGCAGCACATCGAACCTTAGTAACAGTGTGGGACAAGTTTCATCTTGTTCAGTGCAGTCAGTGGGGTGTGAGCTATGGTTGAGAGAAGGTGTGTTTTAAAGTGTGCCGTAAATCACCCTCCATCATGACAACGCTTTATGTCACACATCGCTTCTGGTATGGCAATTTCTATCAAATAAAAACATTACAGTGTGTCCTCTTCCACCTTATTCACCAGATCTGGCACTATGCGTCTTCTGGCTCTTCCCCAAAGTCAAAATGACCATGAAAGGAAAACGTTTTGAATTGACTCAAGACATCTAAGCAGCCATGACAGTGCAACTAAAGACGCTCACGAAAGAGGACTTCCAGAACTACTTCAGAAAGTGGAAAGAACTATGGGATAAGTGTGTTCGAAGTGAGGGGGCGGGTGATATTTTGAGGGAGATTAATGGTAATGTGTCTTTTACTGTAATATATATTTTTTTATTTAAACATTC